AAAAAAAAACGGTACTGTTCTTCCATTGGAATTATACAATTTCTTATAATTTAAAACTTTTTCCGCATAAATATTTGGATTTACATGCGCTGGGCCGATTTGAAAATACCTCCAAAAATCTCATTATTTTGATTACGTTGATAAAATGTTCAAACGTTTTTATGCAGACCTATTAAGCTTAAACTCTTTTATTATATGAGGTGATTTTTTGGAAAAACATATTTTTAAAAATTAATTTTATTCACAACAAACTAGATTTTTCCAGTTCTTCTTAAAACGGCTCACCGCATCAAAATCTCAATATTTTTTTCAAAATATTAGGCGGAAGTCTTTAAATATAATGAATTGTATAATTTCGGTGGAAAAACCGCGGATCTTTTTGGTGAGCCATCATAATGTACATATGTATGCCACTCTTATCTAAATATAGGGCGTGCAAAATTATTATTTGTTGCCGAAGATTAATTGCGGTACAGACCCTAGCAACTTTCCCCCAATCAAACGTATGTATGTATATGTTATTACATTTTAGTAAAAAAGCTAAATAAAAAAAAAACTGCCAACAACAAATATTTAACTTTAATTGTTTTCTAGTGTATATATAGTTTTACTATGTAGGTATACACACATATGTGCACATTTACGTTTTACGTTTTACATACTAATAGCCTTATTCATAAAAATAAAGCAGCTTTAAAAAAGGTGTATAAATTGAAAAATTTATGAAAAAGTCAATTTATAAAGCCCTTTAACCCTACATTATTTTTTGAGAATAACGCCATAAAATTATTAAATAATTTACCAATTTTTTTATTCAGCTTAAAAAGGTGGCAACACTTTACACAAAAAATACCAGCTGCTTTCATTTGCTACCAGTTTTCTAATATTTTACTCAATTTACATATTTCATAAATTTAAATTTTTTGGTATGTAGGTGGCAGCTTGAGTAATTTTTTTTAAGCACTTTGAATACCTTTCCTGTGCTATTTTTTACGCGTATATAGCAGGCTTTACTACATATGTTTTCAGAATAATAAATTTAATAAATTATTTGTTTTTGTTATTTTTTTGGCCTTATATCAATTATATTCAACAATTTATATTGAGCTCGAGGCCGTTTTAAATGAAAATTTTTATTGTGGAAAAGCAACAATAATTTGAAAAAATGGTAGAAGTGATAGCTATTTCGGAAATCACCACATTTCCTCATCAGACTTCTTTCAGTAGGCTTCGAACCGACGATCCCACTGACTCAGCCAGTTACCTATGCACCGTGCTAAGTACGCCTTGTAAATTATCGTTTGCTTTTTTCCACTATTTTCATTTTTGTTATGCCAACACAATCAAGCGCAGCTATTCCGCTGCAATTCGCTTGATCATGTGGTTGTTGGTATTGTTGGTTTTTGCTAATAATTCTATTTTTAGATTGTTTAACTTTTGGGTGTTTTAAATTATTTTGCATCTTTCGAATAATTAATTAAAATTATTAATTAAATTAATTAATTAATTATTGAGTTTTGTTTTAATGTTTTAAAAATTTGGCAACTGTATTAAAAATATTTTGTAGTTAATGTGCTTTTAAATACTTTTTGTGTGATGCTAATTTCACCTAAGTTATAAAAGCAGATTTTTAGCTATTTAAAATAAAGTTTTAAAAGCTTCCAATTTCATTTATTTTCGTACTGAATTTCTATATTCTACATACTATTTTATTCTTTTTGTTAATATTTCTTTTCCAATAATAAATCCAATAGGTCTGCTGTTCCATTGGCGCCCTCAATTCTTGACTAGCAATCGAAGCTTTCCAACTTCAAAGTCATGCATTCACCACGCATGCGAAGTTCGTCGAGTGATGGCTCTACTACAGTGACGTCCTCTCCACGAATATTTGCACACTCGTCATCTGTGGACACAACAACATCGGGCGCATATTCCGATGAATCTTCGAACACATTTATTGGGACAGCTTTGGAAGACTCTGAAACATCAGTAGTATGCGCGGAAGAATATAGAGAGTTGATAGCGCAATTTGCGTTAGATTATTCATCAGGTATTTACACTCTAAATCTTGTTCGGCAAAGACTAGAACTGAAATAAGTTCTTTTCCAACAATAGAACTCAACGCCGTCTACAGCTCGGCTCGTGCTGATCTTTCGGAAAGTGAGGCGCAGTGTGAGTTATTACGGCAACGTGTTACCGATTATGAGATTAGAAATTTCATGCAGGTAAGTTAACTCGCGTTACGCATTCTCTTTACACCATCGACACCTTTTCTTTAAACCACTAGGTATGCAGAAGCCCAGAATTTCTTGACTTCCATCCCGAACACTTACAGCGCATCGTGGAGAATGACGAACTGAACGTAAGCTCTGAAGCAGATGTTTTCTGGTCTATTAAACGTTGGTATAAACATGATGCACAGACGCGGCAGCAGCACTTACCCCATCTGATTGCGTGTCTGCGGCTTACACAATTCGATGTTGACTTCTTGTATGCGAATATCAACGCAATGCCTGGTTGCGAGCTTTTGGTGAATAGAGCCGTAGAATGGCTACTGCGGCCTAATGCGCGCTCCACAATACCTTTGCGTTTTACAAAGCCCCGCAAGGTGCTGCGAACGGAAGAGGATACACTTTGGTTAGCTGTGCAGACGCGAGGAGATGTGAGTCAAAAAACTAGCACGTCTTAGACATAGGCGAACAGAACCGAATTTATGTCTTACTCTTTTATGATATTTACAGCATCGTTTCGCCGACAAATGCATCCTACGTTACAGCCGTATGCATGGAGAATGGCAGAAGTGGGCTGAAATAAAATTAGAGCGCAGCAATTTCGGTGTAGTACAACTGGAGCACAGTCTCATCTGTATAGGCGGCTTGGGTCGTAATAATAAGCCTAGTAATCGTGTGAACCGGTATAATTTGAATACCCGTACCTGGGAGCCAATGCCATCGATGGAGTATCGTCGGGTTTACTTGAGTGTCGCGCTTTTGGATGGCAGAATATATGCCTTCGGTGGGCAGGATGAAAAATATCAAGCGCTCAACTCGGTGGAAATGTAAGTATCGCCTACACACTACACTTGGAAATTCCAGCCAAGATGGGACGTTAGGAAACTAAACTTATGCTATCTTCCATTAAACCAAACTATGTCGAACACAAAACAAACCACAGCCTGAGGGTAAATCCAGGATCGAATTAGGGCAAAGGTCAAAACAAACTTCTAAAAAACTAAAGGACATTATCTAAGCTTAGAACAGAGACTGAGATAAAAACCAATCGGTGAGCATTAAAAAAAAAAACGAAGTAAAGAAGAAGCACACAATCAGGCGCAAAACTTTACGTGTGTCTAAAAATACCTTCCAAATGAAACAGGATGAGCAGGATCCAGATATATACAAACAAAACAACAAAAATCAAACCAATAGAGAAAATAAGCAACGACAGCATAAGTGAGGCCAAGAAGTTAAACTAAAGCAAGATAAACTACAAATCTAAAGTATTTAAAAACGAGACCAAAACTAAAATGATAGACCAGGGCCCATTCCGAGCCTTCGCCGGTGACTTTAGGAAAGACAAAATGCAACATCCGAGATCTAAGCAAAGCTCAAAACCAAACCACGTCAAAGACCATACTGATAGGAAAAAAACGTCCAGAACAAATTTCGAAATAAAAAACAAATGCACGAATTAGAAACAGTCAAAACAAAGACAAAATTTCTGAGAGCCATTCGCAACAGTTTAAAAACCCATTCTGTTCTGCGATGCGTTAAGCTGTGCCTCTCAGGGTACTTAATTTGACTTTGCCACACCGGCACAGAGTTTAAAGTCTTCAGCCAGCTATTCTCCGTGAGGAAAGCTTATACTTCCAGACCGGTGTAGTGTCCTTCAGATTGAGATCTATGCGAAATGAAATGATGCTAAAATTGTTCTTAGCTCCTTCAAAGTCCACACCTGACAGCTAAGCTATATTCATGTCAATTCTTCGTGGACCAAGTTTTGGTATTAACTCACTTCTTACTAGCCTTGGACATAAGATATCGAACATGATGACCGCGTAAGATCGCATTTCATAGACTTTTGACTAGATGTAACTAGTAGTTTGACAGGTGTGCTCCACAGCCAAACTGCTGTAAAGCTTCTCAATAAAACGAATTTTAAATTTTTTTAACAGGGACGTCCTTGTGTCCACAAACACATACATGCCTTGAACGTTGTTCCGTTGGAATTTAAAGATTTGTTAACCACAGGCCGGACTCCTTAATTGCGGAAAAGTTCTGCTTGAAAATCGCTACAGTGGCTAAGTTAATGAAAACTGAAAATATAAACTTATAGAAAATTTCCTGTCTCCACCGAGTAGTGGAATAGTATAGTCTAGAAACCTCGCATGCCCGAATCTGCGGTCTCTCAACGGTTGGATCGCATTTAACCTGGCAAGAATTTGCCGTATAAATCTACCGGTGAAAAGCTTAAATTACTTCCAGACCTTAGTAGGGGTCGAAGGGAAGGCTCTCGTGACAAGGATAAACGCGGTCCGTCGACTCATTCCATTTTAGCTCTGCGTAGAGTCTTGGTTAGCACGGGCTACCAACCGGCGGTCCCGTAGAAGAGGATGGTAGTTGAGTGCACCTTATATACGATATGTGGTCTTATTACTCAGGTTTTACCTTTAGTCGTCTTGCAGGCGTACAGTTCGGTACGCCTTCGGTGGCCTTCCTGGAGTGGTTTTCGACATTTCGCTGCCTGATATGTTGCCGGTCCTCCAAGGTACTTGACAAGTGCTGAGAGGGTAATTTCTATCCCGTGGTTTAAATGCAAAAACCAAAACGAAAAAGCGAGACAGAATCCAGTGCCCTAATGATTCTCAATAAGTAGTGTTGGATCGGTTTTTTCTCAATTGCTTTTCAGTTCAACTATCTCCGCAAATTTACTCTTTCTTTAATTTTGTAAAATTTCTCTAGGTTCGACACTATCGCTGGCCGTTGGCAAACCATGACCAATATGCCAACTCGTCGCGCTGGTACTGGGACCGCTGTTTTATATGGTAAACTGTACGTGATCGGTGGTTTCAATAAAGCGCACTTGAGCGCAGTGGAATGCTACGATCCAACGAAAAATCAATGGACGCAATGCGCTGATATGAATGAGTCACGCGGTTGGCCGGGGGTAAGTGTGAATTTATTCAAAAAAAAACAAAAAAAAATATTTTATTAAGAGTTAAATTGTATGTAAAAACGCAACAGGTAACTGTACACAATGGATGTATCTATGCCATTGGCGGGTGGTATAATGGTGCGCTGCACACTGTGGAACGTTACTGTGCAGAGAGCAATAAATGGACTATGGTTGGCGGTGAAATGTTGCAAACTGTATATTGATACTAACCGTTTTTTTTTTTATCGCAATCAACAGATTTCCGGTTTGAATGTTGCACGTGGCAGCATCTGTGCGTTGTCTATGAATGAGGAGTTGTGGGCGATAGGCGGCTATAGCGAGGGTGTGCTCAAGGACACAGTGGAGCTGTACGATGCTGAAAATGATAAATGGATTGAGAAGAAGATGCTGCCCGAAGCTGGTAGATATGTATGCTAAGTGGACTGTGATTTGAATTTTGACTTTGTTTATAGCGCTGGGAAATCTAATTGTACAACTTATTAGAAAGAACCTTTAAAAACAATTTGTAGCTAGAAGGTGTGCTACTTTTGTGTGTTCCAAATTTTTATGGCTTCAAATAAAACAAAAGCAAACAAGTAATTTTTAAGCAAAAAATAATAATAATTAGCAAAAAACGAATTTTTGTGGCTTCAAAGAAAACAAAAGCATACAAGCATATATATTTAATAACTTCTATATTGGCAGTAATCTAACTTCTCAATGTGTAAGCATTCCGAAATCAAAGCGAGACAGTCTAGTACCGTTTTTGTCAATGTATTGTGTACTCGAGTGTCGTTTTTGTATATGTGTTGTGTACATGTTTATTTATAAACGTATGTGTTCCTTTTCTTTCGTACGTGTTTATTGATATATCTGTACTGTAGTGTTTTCGGACGGTACTAGCTCTTACTGCCAATATAGGAGTATTACATATATGCATACAAGTAATTTTTAAGCAAAAAATAATAATTAAATATTAAGCAAAAAACGAAATTTTTATGGGTTCAAAGAAAGCAAAAGCATACAAGTAATTTTTAAGCAAAAAAAAAATTTAGCAAAAAACGAAATTTCTGTGGCTTCACAGAAAACAAAAGCATAAAAATAATTTGTAAGCAAAAAAAAATTTAAGAAAAAAAATTTTTTAAGCAAAAAACGAAATTTTTATGGCTTCAAAGAAAGCAAAAGCATACAAGTAATTTTTAGGCAAAGATCCCAACCGACTTCAATGCTCATACAAAAATTTAGGATCATCGTTAATTTCTTCCTTATCCCATGATCGTATTAAAACCATATTAGTATGGGACCACCTGTGAGGTAAGACCTTTCCCTTAAAAAAGAATTGTAGAAATCGGTCGACGTGGTCCAACGTTATGTGGTAACATATATGAAACAAAAAATAAAAATAAAAATATTCCGACGAATTGATAAGCTTTCTCCTTTTTGTGGAGTCGGTTAAAAATATGTATACAACATTTAATACAATTTTTTTTTAATAAATATGATTTTTATACAACTTCTGAATTGTATATTATTTTTTGCTGAAATGTCGAAATTGCACTTTGCTTTGGCGCTGTAATCGCCTAAATAATTTAGCCGCCAACTCCTTTTCGAGCTGTAAAATTTAAAATCGACAAAATCAATAAACTGAACGATCTATGAATTCTTAAGTCGGAACGATAAGGTCCAATTAGTTAGTTCGTTGAGGGCGGACTTTAGCCTTCATGCAAAACTATCGGCAATGCCTTAAATGCGCGGTGCTCGAATTTTTGGCTGGGGAGTTCGATTCGATATTCTGCACTAATTTCATTTAGAGAGAGAGGGTAGAGAAGTGTTCCCTCTTTACTTAACGCTTTCGGGACCAAGACACATATTTTTCCTAAAGAGTTTTCCCACTCATAAATAAATTGTGTAAAGAAGTTCAAATTTTTTTTTCAATTTGCCTAATTTTTATTTAACTTTTTTTATCTTAAAATTTTAGAAAAAAACATTTTTACCAAAACTAGACAAATTTGTTAAAAATTTAAAAAAAAAAATTATGTAGATAAAAAACCAGACTTAAAAAAAAAACAAAAAGAGAAAGCCCTTAGTTGTCCTCAAAATACTGAATAGTTTGTTAAGAATCCCGAAAAGTTTCAAAAATATCTAAAAAATCTAGTAAACTCTTCTGAAGCAAGAAATAATATATTTTATTTAAATAACATTTTTTTCATATTTTTGTGTACATATGAAATGGACGATTGTAAATCATTTCTTAAAAATCTCATGGCGAGACGATCCGTGTGCAGAGTGCCTTAGTTTTTCCATTTTAATATAAAAAGCCAATACATTTACTTGCAAAATCAGCAGCGAACAACAAACCCGATTAAAAGCATAACCCACGCGAAACGTAAACAGCGACATAGATTACAAGACAGAGCTGGTAACTTCGGCGCTATCGAAAACAAACAATGAGCTACGTTGACACATTTTGAATAAAATTTTTGCACGAAACAAAGACATATGTATAAAAACTGAAAATTTTTCCCATGCCGTGAGTTTATTATGGCAAACCCTGAGCACTGAGATTCGATGGAAAGCCCCTGAATCTCAGGCTGAAAAATCCTATTTGGCAACCCTAGTTGCAAGTATTAAAAGCTCACAAACAAAGGCATACAAAAATTATGATTCTAAATTAATCACCACTGTGAGTACGTCAAGGTACTTTCTCTGGTAATCACTGTTCTATATTTAGCAGAGTCGCAGCAATGCATCGCCACTACTGCATTTCTTTACTGGGATCGCCTGGCAGCTACTGATCCGCTCGTACATTACTCGGAGAGCATTCAGAGAGCTACGGGTCCCCGGCTACAGACATGTACATGCAAAGATACTGGCTAACATGTAGATATATACATCAGGGAGGCCCAAATATGCATTGTAAAAAACTTTTCCTGGAAAAAAGCAAGAAAGAAATAAGAAAGTTACCCCTTCTGTAAAATCTTGTGGTGCTGCTATACGGAGTCCGAATGCTTATAATTTACAGTTATATAGGTCCAATTACTTGGGAGGGAGTCCTCTTTTAAATCCTAGTAGTTTAATGGTAACTTTTTTAAAACCCTGACTAATGACCTTCACTTTTCGAAAATTCAAAATTTTCTTATGTATTTTATATGGTAAAATTAAGGTTCTTGGTGACACATGTTATGATTCATTTCCAATTTGAGATTCTTCCCAGCACCTAAGTAGCTCTACAGTATATCCTTTAGATGTGTCTCAGTTAGGCTCGAGACCGTGCATGTGTATTTAGTCTCTAAGCTTTGCGAGACAGTGAGATCTTTCGTTACCTTCAAAACCCTCATGTCCCGGAAGCCACCGCAGTATTCCGTTTTAAAAGAGTTCTATTCGACATAACATTTATTCTGTTCCCATTTGTCCTTCTACGAAGACATTCGCAAACACATATTTCGATTGCGAGTACTTCCTCCTGGGAAATGGTTGGGTATGTAGCCATTGGTACACTTTTCTGTAATCGTGGTCCAATTACCCCTGCCCCAGTACTCCCGTCGTCCATCTTCGATCCGCATGTATACCATACTTGGGACCCTTGGTCAATCATATTAATGTCGCTTCCTACCAGTCGCTTTCAGGAATTCTGGCCTCGTAGGGTTTGTAGAAGGATAACCACGGTAGCATGATGTCCGTGAGCTTGATAGCAAGACTATCCAGGAATGGTTTGAGAACCGCTATGTCCTGCCAAAATTTAATCTAGCCCACAAACCTACCAAATCGAAAAAGCCTGCCAGTTTTGGTAGAGCTTGCAAAATTTTGTTCCCCATTCACAATTTCCTATCTTAAGAAACTAAGCTTTTTGGAAATTGCCGGGTCTTTTAAGATCCGTTAGAGGTATTGTATTAAAAAAAATGGAGCCAAAAATGTATATAAGTTTTTTCTTTTGCGATTTTTAAAACTACAAAATTCTGTAACTTTTAAATTTTTTATTTTTTTTCGATACAAGTATTTTTTATATAGCACCAAAATCACATTGCCAAATCTGGGAAATTGTGAAACTTTGAACTTTCGAAAAAAAAATTTTTTGCCAGAACTTCGTTTTATAATAAAAGAAAAGTTCTTACCAAAATTCATCCAAATCGAAATTGGTCGATTTCAACCTTTGGTCGATTTGGTTTCATGGATTGACCCACATATATACGTATATGGATATATGTGCATGAATTAGCAGAGAATGTTGCAGTAATCTTAACTCCCGCTTAGCGCTCAATTGAAGCTTTTCGTGCGCTAGCCGTTCGAGCTGGAATGTTTTAGCTACAATGCGGTATGCACTTTAGTTTGTCGTCTACCTGCGCTTGGCTGCAACAGATTCAGTATTTTATCGCTTAGTGCTTTTGTGTTATATTTATCTATAGCCTTGACATTACATATTATTATTTTTCGAATATGGAGCAACGTTGGTTGCGTGATAAGAAAATGATATTAACGGGCAGTGATTTGAGTGCCAGCGAGGAAGGAGAATATGAAACAATTATTTTAAGACATGCCAATTTGGAACAAAGTGATATTGATGTGATAACAAAGAAATTTGCCTATGCAACTTATTTGGATTTATCGTACAACGAGAGAATTGGTAATGAATTGTGATAAAAGTGAAAATAATGTCGGAGGCGTTGCGAACTAACTACGGATACAAACATACTTATTTCGATATTGATATGTTTGATGTACATATATTTATGTAGATGAATCATTTGCGGACTATAATTTTGCAGTCAGAACAACGTCAAACTGGTTTCTACATGCATACATGTATATATGTGTCTACGTATACACATTAGTGTGCGCCTTATTTGTTTGGAAATATTTTTTTTTTTTTTGTAATATAGATAGGTTCATTTGACCAGAAAAACGTACACTGCAAAACATTTTCAAAGTGGAATAACAGAAGGGAGCGTCTCAAGAGCCTTAAAGTTACATACGCCAATTCATAAAATTTTACATGAAATAGGAGAAAGAGCAATCGATTTTTGCATGTTGGTCTCAAATATGGCTACGCCAAGTTGGAAGTTATAGCGCATTTTTTGCATAACTTTAGGACTATTGGGACATATCTTTTCATTAGCCGACTTTGAAAATTTTTCGCATAGCATATTTTTATGACCAAATGAACTTATCGAGAGACAGTCTTGCTTTGTGGATCAAATTTGAAAAACAAGATGCTTCCTAATACACATCTATGTTTGTATGTTCGAAAACATATACAATGTACATACATATGTATTTACGTTTTAATTGTTTTGAATCAATCAGCTGGCTGATGCATTAATACCCGTTACAGTTGTTTATGTTTGCTTTTTGATTTTGTTTATAGTATACGTATTTAATTATTGTTAGTTGTTTCTTGGTGCTACTAAATAGAACTTGCGTCAGTATTGGATATACATATCTTATTACATTAAACGAGCAATTCTTATATATATATATATATATATATATCCATAGGGTTCTCGGAAACGGCTCTAATGATTTTGATACAATTTTGTACACATATAATGTTTTGGATTTTAAGATTATCTGAGTAGGCTTTTTCTCTGAGAAGACTCGCATAAGGTTCCTCCCACCTATTCGAAATTAAAATAAAAATAAAAATTAATTAAAACATCATAATATGGGCATTAAATGGAAAGTTTTTTTTTTAAGTATCCCTAATTCAAAAATATTTTTAATATATATATTTATATATATTTATTCAATTTAGATTTTTTTTTTTATACATTTTTTTTTTTAATTTTAGAAAAAAATCTAAAATATTCCTATTCATGGATACCGAGAGAAGGTTCTTAAACAATGCTTTCCCTATATACAAAATGGTATCCCGTAGGATAGTAGCGTAAGGTTGCCACTTATTTTCGATTCTACACAATTTATCTAACACATCGCAATATGTATATCAAACGAAAGGTATTGTTGAGGACTTTAGTCAGAAAAAATTTTCGATCACGGTTGCCACACTTCTATGTAATACAAATTTTTATTTTGTTAATTTCCATCAGCATTTTTTGTATGTATACGCAGATACGCAAGATACATATGTCGTATTTCTGAATATGGTTGAAACCTAATTTTTTGGACAGTTAGTGAAGAAGGATCTTTGAACCTGCTGGAAGACGTCAACCATTGCGGTCATTCTACCTCACGGTATCAGAAGAGCCCTCCCTGTGACTTCCTGATTTTCACTATTTTGTCTTTGAATATAGAGAAATTTTTTCTCTTTTGAGGTGAGGCTGGGGCAGTTCGCACTGGGCGTGATACTCTCACCAAATGTAAATTTTTGGCGTGGTTTCTGAACTATAAATGGTACAACATCCATAGAGATCCCAGCGCACGGAGGAAGAATGTGGTAGAATATTAGACAGAGCGTAGCTCTAGTGTACCAATTCGTGCGAAAAGTGAGCAGCTGGGATTAAAACTGTCTTGTAAGCTTGGGTAAATAGTAGCTTTGCGGAGATTAATTACTTGATTATACAGTTAGTACCTGTTAATGGGTATTTTAAGAACTAGCCCCACAAAAGGGCAAAATCGAGCTCCGACGACGCAAAACTCATTTTCTTCCAACGCTGGCGATAGAAAGAAGCTCACTAGAGAACTGCATGGGTTCCGCTTAGCGCAGACAATATCACATGGACAATGCTGATCAATGAAGGTTACTGTTCTCGTCTCCAGTAATATCATTGCTGTGATGACGGCTTTGATGATGCATTGGCACCGCTGCCGCAAAAAGAAATTATTTTAGTTCATTTTATATTATTTCCGTCACCATTAATTTGCACTAAATTCCAATTTCAGCCTCTTCTTGTATGTTTTGTAGTAAGAACACCTCTACGTCGACTTGGACATTGAAAGCAAATTTCGAAGAAATTCTGAAGAAATATTGATCCCGTCAAACAATTTTAATCATACTTTGTGCTACTTACAGCTTTCATAAATTTTTTATTGACTCCCACAACATTGTACCTTAGGAACTGCACAGGTTTGCGTGATATAACTTATCGATTTCCCACATGCACACTGAAGCACTTAGACATAGTTGGATGTTCCATTGACCTTGAAGACCATTTCCACAAATATGAATTTCCAATGCTGGAAAGCTTAACACTCAACTGGCAGCCAAGTATCAAATGGCGTAATTTACTAGGCAAATTGGGCAGCCTGCAGAGATTTACTATTGAAAGTATTTGCAGCCAAGGCGCAAAGAGTCGCCGCGCGCTATTAGAGGCAATTGCAGAGTACAAAAATATCAAAGCGATCACCTTTTGCGGCTTACTCAGTGCAGAAGGGATCGTCCAGCTTAGTAAGCTGACTGACGTAGAACTGGGATTTCGTATTAGAAACGGCGCGGAGAATAGCTTGTCCCAATTGTGCGGTCTACAAAACTTGCACACCCTCTATCTGGAGCATACGACGAGCATCTCGAATACAGAGTTGCTGAATGTAATAAAGACTTGTCCAAACTTGAGAAAAATTACGCTGGATTATTGCGATGGTGTAACGAAAGACTTCGTATTTAAAGCCGCTGAGTTCTTGAGGGAACGTGATAAGCATGAACCACTGAAAGCGCGTTTCAACCTTGAACTTTGCGGCTGTGCTAACATCGGTGAAGATATACTAGCGGTAAGTAAGTGGTAATAACGAAATAAATGTATTCACTCATGTTGTGATGTTTTCAAGGATCCTCTCTACGCAAGCGCTGAGTCCGCCATGAGCTTAATTGTATTCTTCAAATGTAAATATGCAGCGACTGACTATCGAAATGAGTAAGTGAATGAAGGAAAATTTTGATCTTATTTAAGCAAAAAGTTTCTTCGACAATATCTTGAGTACTAGGTGATGCGTTGTTCAATTGTTAGTTCGAGCATCCTCCAACGGAATTGGCGTAGAGATTAGCAAATACCGATAAATTTGTGCTGTAACCGCCGAAGCGACTTGGGCTAGTTCAATTAAGCACGCCTTTCTCTTCTGTACCAAGTATCCTAAGAAGATTTGTGGAGGCGTGGTGGACTCCACCCAATTTTTTGCAGACTGCCTTGGTGGCTTAATTGCACCCCGGTGACGGCACTGGCGAATACATTGACCGCCGATAAGTAAAGCCAGTTCTATTAGGCAATTCAAATCGAATGTGCTCTCGATACTGCTATATAGCACTCACTACCGCAATAGGCAGGCGCCTTCAAGTTTTCGAATGATACTCCGAATCTGTTGGCATAAAACAATCCAAAATGATTCGGGGACAGAAACGGAAGTGAATATGCCATACTTTGTGGAATGAATATGGTAGTGGTGCCAAGAAGGCCATGCAACGGACTCCCCTAATCGAAAGAGACAGGCCTCGCGAAGAGACAACTCGTTTTAGGCTGGAAGGAGCTCAAAGCGAGTGTAACAAACGGAAGAAAGCAGGAAGGAAGGCCAACTGACGCTTTCTTCACTTGGTATTTTCATTACAGAGTAGGCCTCCCTAGGCGGACTTCGAGTTGAATACTTTCAGGGCTGGAATGTTTCGAGTTTATTCAATTGACATAAACAACCCAGAATAGTCGCCGTACATATTGCAATTTCCGGCGCTAGGTTTATATCGTTATGGTAACTAGTAATACCTGAATGTACTGATCTAAAGTGGTGAAGCTAGTAGGCATCAGTCAACTAGTAACAGCCACCCATGGCTTCTTTCAAGGAGGTGGCAGTTCTTCCACTATTAACAATGCGGATTGTTAACAAACTTCTAGGAAAGCTAAAGAGCAATATACGGGACTCAGGTCTTAAGGCTGGTAGGCAGTTGAAAATGTGTTACCTTTGATGGCAACTGGGTAAGCTGATAATCGCGCGAAAATCAAAGATTAGCAGACTCTGTAGGGCTGCCAACCTTTCTGTGGCCCATCCATGGGATAAAAGACGAAGCCTCAGGTTGACCCTCACTTTCGTATTTCAAAAGGCTATTCTTTTCCGTATAAAGTCTCTGAAGAGCTGCTTAACCTTAGCGTATAGGTTCTAAAAACTATCAGTGTGGTTTAGAATTATTTACCATCTCTCAATGTATTGAACTTTAGCACAACTTTTTGGATGTTATGTGATATCTGTAAAACGATATGACTGAGGCCATAGTATGTGTTCCCGTCATTCACCAAGTTACATTTTGCTCTCTAATGGTGATTTCTGAGAGCAATAGCGATGCTCTTTGACAAACCTCTTAGCAACCTTTTGTGGTTGAAGCTTTTCAAAGGCCACTTTACCTCGTTACGTTGACACGTTGGATTCGGATTTAGATTTGTGTTAGGCCAGATAACCGAGACCGACCTTACAAGCACTCAAATACAGTACAACGGATCGTCGATGACTTTGCCCAGTTTCATACCATAGCTCTACTATCGATTTTGTAACTTTCGTTTCTTTTTACTTTACAGCCTCCTCATCCCCTACCCAGCACCAAATGTACAACTAAGCATTTACATACTTTTCGAGATCTTCAAAAAACTCAAACGTCGCTCTCACTCCCAAGCATTCGCAACGGTTTGTGTAGATTTCGAAAATGCGGCCATCGAAGAAGAGCGCCATTTGAAAATTATTTCCTGTCGTAAGGCGAAAATTGTAAATAATCGCGTATATGATGCCTACATGGAGATTACAGCTGAAAATAACAACTTCTTTAAAAATCGTATGTTGGCCAATGCCACGAAAATGGAGCTGAGCAATCGTATAGTTAAACTCGAAACTATTTTTGAGGATTTTCCAAAGTTGAGGCGTTTAAAATTGTTGAATTGCGCTATAAATGAGAGCGAGATCCCCAGAAATAAGCAGTTCAAGAGCGTGAGAGATTTGGAAATATGGGGTGAGAATGCTTTGCGTTTATGGCAGACACTAGCGATGCTTTTTCCTAGAGTCACAAATGTCAATTTAACGTACGCCACGTGGGAGAGCCGACTGAATGCTGCGAGTCATGAGATGCTGATATCAAATGAGAGCAGTATGTTTAAGCATCTCGGGAGCGTAACTACTGTTGGGTTGATTTTGAATGATGAGGATTTGAACGTTTTTACACAACTAGTAAATTTGAAAAGTTTCTTCATTTGCCGCAATCCACAAATAACAGGTACGTAATGAAACCGAAGGACAGATATAAATAGATTGTTGACTTCAGCGACCCAAATTTGAGTACCTTAAATACGAACCTGAAGTCGGTACCAATAAGTCGGTACTTAGTCTAACGCAGTAAAGCAAAATTGTTGGTTAAGTGCAGTCATACGAAGGTTGAAAACTGCAGAATTATAGAAAAGCACTTTTGCCGCGAAGAAAAATTTCCACACAACGATCTAGGAAAGAATGGGGAGAAGACAAAAATTTAATCAAAATTAGACCACAAAGTGGAAAGCGCCATGTAGGTGCTCCCAGGACCTCTCACTCAGCTTCAGTTTTCGGTTGCGACGCCTTTCAAGCTGTGTCAACAGCTCTTAGCGGAACTGCAAAGTGGCTGATCGATTATTTTCTTAATCTGCATGCAGTTGCTATCTTATCTGATAGTCACACAGCATCAGCTGCAGAGCCTACTTCCAGGATAGTATGACACATCCGTCCCAAATTATATAAAAGAAGATCTAGACCACTTCTCCGACCACTACTCCGACATCGTATCGGCGTTATTACTGGTCACGCCAATAGAATGGTTATACAGTCGTGGGATTTATGTAGCAGCTGCCATAATATTCTTATTTCCCAGTCTGGTAGCATGAGTACTCAGAGCCCAGGGTGTCGCGTCTCTTGACTAATCATTTCTGTTGTGAATAGCCACAAACTTCTCCGACCCTTTCATCTGCGACAAGCCATTTTTATACAGCGTTAAGAAAGAGAGGTCTTGATATAACTCACAGGCATCCTTTGACTTCAAAAATAGTAGAAAGTTGAAGCCGCTATAGCCTACCTCGTTAGCCATTTTGTGGGCACGTATGGTTAGTTGTCCCGAAACCCTAGCCAGCGAGTCGCTACATATGCAAGTAAGGTCGATAATCGTTCTTTATTATTTATAATAGAGGTAATAATCTTAGATCCAATGATTCTTATTTTGCCTGACAGCCCGACTGAATTGCAACATTTGTCCTCTTTTCTTCGCTCGTAGCACACACGTATTGTTTGACCTACCGGAAACTTTTACCCCTATGTACCATAGACATTAGTATTCTGTCTCTAAGGCAGGAACCAACAACACAATCAACATCAATGGCGCCACCATTGAGTCCGAAGAGGAAGAACTGAACACCTTTTGCAGAGAACACATGAGTTAAGTTGATAAAATAATCTTACCACTTCGTCTTTGAAGGAAAAAATGTATCGACATTGATACTAAGTAGTCATGCCTAGTACTTAAGAAATCGTGGTGTTGAACATTTAATCTCTAAATCAACCCCTTCGTAATATTTTCTAATCAGGTTCACTTGTGTTCCGACTTCAGTGACAGTGCGGATACCTGCATATCTAACGACTAGGCAAGCAAAGGCACCTTTCAAAGACTGTTTACGCCTCTGTACTCCGACCTTTTACTCATACGGGGCATGCACAATTCCAAGATCCTTCGCATGGAAAGGTTAGGGAGTTTACCTATTCCCTGCTGTGGAACAATCTTTGCACTTTCTACTAAACTGCTGAACCTTAGCTAGGTTAAAATGGAAACATGTTGGCTCGCACTTCCTGCCTAACTTTCAGCAGCTCGCAGGCATTGAAATTATTCGAAGTCGTAATTTAGTAGTCGCCGTTAAATTTTTTATGGTATGACAACGCACAATCTCTTAATTGCTCAAATGCGTCCCTTGCTTGGGACAACCACGATAACCAACCTCTCGTACTCTTCTAACAAACTTCGTACCTTCAAGATGCCGAAAAGTGGTTATACTCGGCGCAAAACAAAGAAAATCAGGAATCGTTTCATTTTGGTGAAGCAGGAATGGTGATATTGACTTTTATATTCTGAAGGGTCATGCATTAAGCTTGAGGTGGCTAAACATCTCGTTTGTTTTGAGTTTATTTATCGGGTTCCGAAATGAGCCAATGTTATTTGTTAGAGGGAAAGATCTTTGGAAAGAAACTACTGTTAGCAGAGTTTCTAATGCAAATTTCGCTGTCTACTGCCAGGCGCATTACTAGCTCATCTAGCAAACAAAGGATTGCGAAACAGTCAAATCCAATCGAAGTATCGGCTGGTGCAGACTTATTAGTCGTTTTTCTTTTTCTCTGTAGAACCCCTTCTCTGCCGCGTTTAATTGCCAAAATCAGGTTTTTCTGTTCAACAAATGACTACAAGTGACCTAAGTGTCAAGAAGCAGGGATGGTAGTTTCAGGGAGGGGAGTTGAAAGTTCAAACCTTAATTTAAGCCAAAGTGGAAGGTTGTATCACGGTTTGTTTTTTCTGTTCAATGAATTACTATAAGTGACCACCAGATCAAGGTCCATCGATAATATATTCAGGAATAGAGGTCGAGAGTTCTGGCTTTATTGTAAACCTGAGTGGAAGGATATATCGTACTTTGGCTTTTGGCTAAAGCTTCTCAAATATTGCAAAAATGAGCATAAAAAATTCTACCAAAAAAAGCTTTAACTTTTTCCGAACCAAAATTTGTTTCCACTTTTGTTGGCCTGCGTAATTATTTAATTACTATTTCTTTAATACAGGCAAATACATTTCGGATCTGCGGAGCATTGAGGAACTGCAAGTAACTAATTGCGCAAATTTCAAACAATATTATTTGGCTGACATCTTGCGTTGCCTTGCCTTGAAATCGCTTAACATCAGCGACTGTCCGTTGGCCTACACCTCAGCGCACCTCACGAATGAGATGTGGTTACAGTGCGAAACGTTGAGTAAACTTAAAATTGACTGGCAACAAGCGCACACAATTATCGCTTTACAAACTCTTAACACTTTAGTGGATCTGGATATGCGCGGCTGTGAGGCACACTATACCGAAACGTGGCAGCATCAATCTGCAGATCAGCAAGCGCTGTTCCAACAACACGTGCGCTTGGAGCAGCGCCTCTTTCACATACTCCTCGAACGCACCAACATTACAAAGCTCACACTCGAAGCTGAGTTGTTGCGTCGAAATCTTGATTCATTGCAGCTCTTACAACACCTGACACACCTGAGTGCGATTGCCATACCGCTGGATGTTATTCCGACTACACCAAATTTCTATCAAACTATTGGCAGGCTAGCTAATCTGGAATATTTACACTTGGCAAATTTCTTTTACTGTTATGATGGCATAATACACATCGTAGGCAAATGCCGCAAACTCAAAGAGGTGCGACTCAGCGATTGCGTGGGATTTTCGGATTTTGCGATCTATGAACTCGTCGAAGTGGTGAAGCGCAAACGTAGAAAAGAGCAGCTGCCACTTAGACTGTTTTTGCATAATTCGAGAGACGAATCTGGTGATACCTGCAGTGAGGTAGGTGTTGCTTTACAAATAGGGAGTGCTTTTTAGTAACGCTTAATTTACAGGAAAGTTCGGCCAGCGCTAATGATGTGGTGAGCATTTATGGTGATTTTTCGCTGTATTTATTACCAGTTTTTAATAAGAATGTTTTATTTACAACAACAACAACAGAACAAACGCTTCGAAGACGTCCAGGAATTCATTGAGGTTACTTTCGTGGATGAACCGAAATCGGAATTGTCTACATCGAGCCCACCATTCCTGGACGAAGTAATGTGCATTAAATGACATTCGGCGAAGTGGGGAAGTAACAGTGAAATAAAAATGTAAAAATGGTTTAAAAAATTTAACTGCGTGAATTTTTAGCAACGGTTGGTTGGTTGGGAGTAAATTACCAAATTCAACGGGAATTGCACACGGAAATGGTTGGGGCTGAAACAAGTGCTTCTTGTGTGTATGCACATGGTATTAATTTAACAAAAACTTGCTAATAAAAGATTAAAGAATAAAACTTAGACAAGGCCCAATACAAGAATGGAAGTATAGGTAAGTACGTACATAGATAAAGAAAAGGATAAAGGCAAAGGTAAAAATAAAAATAAAAACAAAAACAAAGTTGCGTAAAGATAAAAGCAAAAATGACGACCAAGGTCAATTTAAACACTTTACTTATATAAGAGCAGAGCCGAAGGGAAATATGTAAATGAACAAAATGATAAACATAAAAGTAAAAACAAAGATAAATATAAAGAAAAAGATGAGAATGAGGATACCGATAGAAGTAAAGATGAAGATAGAGGAAGAAAGATTAAAAAAATATAATTGTAGAGAAATGATATAGATAGAGACACAGAGACTCAATCTGGGAACTATTTTGGGATTTTAAAGATTTTCCGGATTCTCGGGACTTATCGATATATCAACAGATTTTTTTTTGTCAGTTTTGTTATCGATATTTTTATCGAGTTCGTTATTGAAATTTTTATCAATATTGCTATCGATATCATCGGAACATGTTGAAACAATAATCGATTTTGCTATCGATATTTTTATCGATTTTGTTATCGATTTTTTAATCGATATTTTTAACGATTTTGTTATCGATATTGTTATTGGTTTTGTTATCGATATTGTTGTAGATTTTGGTATCGATATTTTTATCGATATTCTATCGATTTCGTTACCGATATTGTTATTGATTTTGTTATCGATAATTTATCGATTTTGTTGCCGATTATTTAACGATTTTGTCATCGATTACTTATGGATTTTATTATCGATTTTGTTATAGATATTTTTGTCGATTTTTTTTTATCGATTATTTATCGATTTTGTTATCCATATTTTCATCGATTTTGCTACCAATCTAATTATCG